CACCTTCTTTTATTTACTCAATACTCTGCAGCCAGGAACTGGTGTCTCTTTGGTAGTTGACACATTAAAGGAGAATTTAAGTGCTTCTAGGCATGCTGAATGTTAAATTTCCAATTCCTCAGTTTTCAGTGGGTCTTTAAATTACTCTTGAGGCTAATCTTCTTGCATGCACCTTTCAAAAATGCAACTCTCCTAATGAATCCAAACTGTTTCTAGGCTCTGTTGTCTGACTGCTCTTCATCTATCCTATTTTCTGCTTTCTGAAACTTCTGTAAAATTTATTCACCATCTTACATGTATAAGCACAGGAAATTTGGAACTAGACGGGACACAGTCCTTGTCCATGCCCCCTCCCCGGACACAGACAAGTAAACCACTAATCTGCGGTAGGACATGTGCTAGGTTGAGGTGTGCCCCCTCAGCTGAGTCCCAAGGTGGTAGGGGCATGGCTTTGCATCTCCCCCCAGTCTTTGATGGACCTTCTCTGCCCTCATGCTGCCCCCTGGTGGTGCTCTCACAGTAGGAAAGTGGTTCCCAAAGTCTTAGATTTGATTTCTGGGTTCTCTACTAACTCCCTTCTTAATCTCTCAGAGCTTCAGTTTTCTTGACTGTAAAGAAGGGACAAAAGGTCTACCTCATTGAGTTATTCTGCAAGTTGTAATGGATATTCCATGTAGCATGCTTAGTCACTGTTACATCATAACTGCTTCATGTTACTTGCTTTTGTAGCATAACTCTGCTGCTACCATTATTGTTGCTGCTATCTATATGGTTACTCATTGGGAAAAATCTCTGATAGGATTTTCTCTTTCTTTTGACAGTTAATTCACACTTCAGTTGTGGACACAACAGTTCTGTTTCCTCATCGACTAGGCTTGCCTCACAAAAGATCCCTTAAGAGTCTGGTGGCTGACTACCTACAGAGGATTATTCAGGATGATGGTAAGAGCCTGTTTGCTAATGATAAATACCAGGGCCCTACGTCTGACTTAAGTAAACAAACCATGTGATTGATGGTAAAAGTTCTGCCCTCTGAAATGCTTAAGGTAGGTTCTTATTCATGGATTCTCTCCTATAGTGGAAAGACTTGTACCTGCTTATGTGAAAGCTTGTAAAAAGCCAATGCCCACTGCCAGGTATAGTCCTGGATCTTCCACAGGCATCAAAACAGCAGCTATACAGAAAATGATGGCCAGATAATTGTTGGGCAAATTGCCTGGCCTTCGAATTCATGTATAAAACTTCTTTTGGTGTGGAGATCGAATTCCATTCTAAATTTTGCTGTGTACCCCTTTTCATATAGGCTTTTCATTAAATGAGGTTATGAAATTCACTGGGTTCAGGTTATATCACCCAGAGTAAATGGTGTGTTGTTAGAAGAAGTATAGCTCAAGTTCAGTACATGCATTATATGTGCACTTGACTTCTACTCAATTAGTGTATCTTGCTCCCAGAACATTTTCTGGGTTTGTTGATGATTAACTTGTCTAATGTTGGGTGTATTTCAAGTACAAGTGTAGCTACCACGTCCCTTGTTAGTGGCATTGCTGTATGCACAGTTGAGCAGTGCATGCCTTGGAATAGGTCAGTTAGTCAACACCTTCATGCCCATATAGTTTCCTCTTACATACAATACAGAAGTGTAAGAAAATTAATTCTGAGCATGTTAAAATTTGTTACAATGCTATGTTTCTAAAGATACCTAAGATACGGGAAGCCCTTCTGTTCATGTCATGAATTGTACAAAATACATATTGTACCCCTATGGTCTTTTTCTTTCATTCTTTGTGAGACACTAATACAATCTCAAAGTGGATCTTTACCTGCTTTGTTAAAAATACATCTCAAAGAGCTCCTACAAAATTCTATTATAAAATGTGTTCTATTGCAATCCATCTTAAGCCTTACACATGAAAATATTTCACTTAAAAAATAGCTTATATAAAAATACAGATACTTTTTGTTTTTTCAGACTTTTTCAGAATAACACAAATGAAAAATACACCCACTATTTCAGAAGTGCTAGTATGATTTTTCTCATTTAATCTCATACATTTATTATCCTCATCAGAACTATAGACTTTATATTCTGGGTAAATTTCATCCACTCTTTTAAATCATGTACTCTTGTATCTGAGGTCATTCTTTGTGTAGACAGTTCTACTTCTCCTCACAGACTGTTTTTGACTCCTAGCTGGATCTCTTTTTGTAATACCTGCCCCTTTGTTACCTTCCCTCTGGACCTTCTTTCCAGAGAGTGAGAGCACCCATGAGCTATCTAGTCACAGCAAAGCAGTCACCATGCGAGGACAGGCTACATAGGAAAAGGGAGATGTTTGCTAATCTACACTTATGTACCGCATTTACAAAGCAAACAAAATACCATTTTGCTAAGTGACCAGTGTTAATTTTTTATAAACATTAACTCCAGGCTTTGTTTTGAGAACAGCTGTGGGTGATATCATGGGTACAGTCATTGTATAACACATTGTTTTATATTCTGTACTACTTGGAGGTCACAATTCAATTGACAATGCAACTGCCTGCATGGAACTGGTCCTCTGGAAGGTAAAAGAAGACCTGAAAGGAAGGAAGTAATCATTTTGTCTGACAAGATCTGCAATCCCTGCCTTGTTGTGTCAGTGACCCCTCTGGCCTCTGCTGCCGCCAGTAGAGTTTGGTCTACGATGGCATGAAGTTTCTTGACCTTTTTCTTCAAAGAGGACAAAGGAAAGCGCTGTTGAGGTTTATTTATTACATTTTAAAGGCTAAATTTCCATAGTTTATTTCTTAAGTTATGATTGCTGAGGGGAGAATGGTTAATGGGTAAATTAAAGTTGGTTTGTTTTGAATTTTCAGTTCCTCTTCATTGATAGTGAGTAACAATGGTTTCAGGTTGAAGCAATGAGTCCATGACTTCCATCAAGGTCATGTCTGAGGTTGCATACATTTCTTTTTCTCTCTCAATACCTAAAACCGTCTTTACCTAATACACAGACTTTTTTTTAGGCCTCATATATATGTAGGATAGGTTTTCCTCACAAAGTAAACGTAAATTTTCAGTGTCTGTTAACCAAAAGATTTAGGTCTTCTGGCTAATGCATTATGTGTTTTTATTCTAACTGCTGTAATGTTACCTGATTTTAATTCATAACCACTCCTTTTTCTAAGGCAGTGTCCTGTGGGTCCCCCAAAAGTACCATGCTCTAACCTGTGTTCCTAATATCGGAATTGTCTGAATTCCTTTGAGGAGTTAGCTCCTCCTTGCTTAATTGCTTTTTGATGATGTGGAAACTACACGACATAACTCAGTTTGATTACCCTTAAGGATGAACCTTCAATATTAATGTTGCTAAAATGCTGCAAAATGACAAAGGTTTCTTTGCCGATGATACAGGTGCATCTGAGTAATTAGTAGTGAGACCTGAGTGCCAGAAAGACCTCAGGTGCCTGCGACGACAGGCCCTCAAACATACTTCAGGTTTGCTGCCTTGGCATTTTGAGTTACAAATAATTATCACTGAACATCTTTTTCTTACTATTGCAAGTACTTCTTCGTCATGTCTCTTTTCATGTACTTGACATGAAATAAAATAATTCAAATTTTGGATACTATGAATTTAAGTAATACATAATTAAGAAGGTCAAACTATTATGGGGGGGAAAACCTTAACGTTTGTTCCAAAGCCATATGAAAAATGTGAAGGTCTTATTTACATTTTCAGATCATCCTTGTTGTGGGTCATTTCCACATACTATACATTCAAGCTAGCAGTTGTCAGGAGTATCTCTACAGCATTTGGGTAAAAAGCAAAAGAAACTATTGGGACTCATTATCAAGGGCTCTTCATTTAAGTTCTCAGTTGGAGGTATATGGCCCTGGCAAGAAAATGAACTAGACACAACACTTCTAGATGTTTCCAATTCTGGGAGCTTGGGAGCCCCTGTCTGGCCGAGTACCCACCTGCTGCTCTACATGGATCTTACTGACAAGTTCAAGGAGGATAACTTTAAAGTATAATAAAGATGTTTGTCAATACCTATGAGAAACATTCCCGGACGAAAAGTGGGTAGGCAAGACATTTATTCACTTACTGTATGACCTCAGTGCAACATGTGCCTACGGTATAAACTGTAAACTCACAACTGATCAACACTGAAACTTTACAATGTGCAATACATGTAGGGATGTTCAGTTGATACAAATGTCACATGTCTCCCAAGTGGAACTCCAGGCTTCCTACTTCAGTTTCTTAAAACACACAAATCCATGTTACCAGAGAAACTAAAACCAAATCTCATTAATTTATCAAACTTGTACTTCTCTAAAGATTCTTAGACTTGTATGGAATGAGATTTAAGCTTACTTTTAGGTGTTAGCATTCTGGATTGACTGGTGGGGTCTGGAAACACATGACGAAGTTGACAAATGACCAAGTGAAAGGGGGATGGCTTCTATACATGAGGGAGAAAGTTAAGAGATGGACAGCAGGATCTCTTTTAGATGTTAACCTCTATCCTGATAGAACTAACCTATTTCCCCCACTTTTCTTACCCAGGCTATCAGGGCTAGTGTTAGGTTTACTAACAAGATCTTTCTTCTACAGAGCCAAAGATTTTATAGCATTCACTATGAAGGTAAATATCAAAAATACCTAGGATGATAATGAGTTATGCATTATAGTAATTGTACTCACACACCTTCCTGTAAAGTCCATATTTTTAGAAAAATATATTATTGCATATGAAACCACAAACAGGCATTCTGATTTCAGCACATTCTTACTCGAAACAGTATATACAGTCCTATGAGAGTCAAAGTGTACTATAGATTCACACACACGGGTTTTTGTGGTAAAGTCCCAGACACACAGCAATATATGTACATGTTTATGTTCTAGGTCACCTCTCTTGGCACAGTCTTGCTGGCTTGCTTGGCATCAAGGGTCTTCATGCCAGTGGAGGGGAGACAGAACATACAGACATACAGACAGAACATCCTAGGCTGCCTCCTCAGCCGAGCAGTCGATCCCTGCGTAGGCAAACTTCTCATAAAGCGTGGTGTTCACGTAAGTCTACAAGAGCAAGAATGGGTCAGAGACACAGGCTCTCCCGGTACTGCCTCTGCACGTGGCACTTACAGTCATACCCCAGCTCCCTTCATATGGTTCAAGGACTAGGTACCTGGGGGACATTTTTCTGTCTTAAGTTCCCATGTTGTATTTGACAACTTTCTTCCTGAAATGCATCCCTCGACCTCAGCAGGTAAGATTTCACTCTGTCTCTCTCTCCAGGCCACTCTCTGCTGTCCCTCCGGAGATGTCCCATTCTCTACAGATACTTTCTCTGTCCCCATCCCTGTGGGTGACCCCCCTTCCCCCCCCCATCTCTGGTTTAATTACCACTTGCATTGTGGTAACCTGCCATCCATTTCCTTAACCTAGACTTGCCTTTTCAACCTCAGATCAGTATAGCTGACCACCTGCTGGACATTTTGATAGACTTCCTGCCCCTCCCCACAGAAACTGGACACCAGGCTCCACTACTACTGGCTGTGTGTCCTTGGACACATCACTTTCACCTCTTTGTGTATATTTCTTCTATAAAATTGAAGGATCAGGCCACATTACTCATGAGGCTCACAAGCTAATTCTATCTGTTCTACCACATGTGACTCTTTTTTATAGAAATCTTACCACCTCTGAAATTGTAACTTGCTCAGAGTTAGCGGCCACATCTTTTATGTCCCTCTAATACCAAGGACTATGCCCAGAAGTACTTGGTGACTTGTATCAGACATTTTTTTTAACCATACAGGGCACATGAGGAATTCTGACTCAAGAGCCTGCCCTGAGCCCCATGCTCACCTTGCGTTCTTCTAACATCCTGTTTAAGGACACCAATATCTGGGCAAATGACGGCCTCTCATAAGGCTTCTCCCGCCAGCACTGTCTCATTAGATCATACCTTTGGAAACAAAGAGTTAGCCAGTTAACTCTGACTGTGCTTCAGTCCTGGGCATGGCCCAGTGTGGGGTATGGAAAACAAAGAAAGTAGACTTTCAACACATGGTCATTACACTTGACTGGCAGCACAGGGTACAGCACTGAGTTTCGATCCAGCCTCCCACCTCCCTCAAGACCCCCTTTCTTCTGCCAGCAAATCTAGTGCCTCCCCTGAGTACCATTCCTGCAGGATCTTGGTCTCACCTCTTCTGATTATCTGGAAAGAACTGAGTCATGTGTCTAGGGCAGCATGTCCCTTGGAATACTGTGTCTCTCAAAATGTTATTTAAAAAAAAAAAAAAAATGGCGCGTCAGGCTCTGGGCTGATGGCTCAGAGCCTGGAGCCTGTTTCCGATTCTGTGTCTCCCTCTCTCTCTGCCCCTCCCCCGTTCATGCTCTGTCTCTCTCTGTCCCAAAAATAAATAAAAAACGTTGAAAAAAAAATTTAAAAAATAAAATAAAATAAATGGAGAGCCCATGGGGCGCCTGGGTGGCGCAGTCGGTTAAGCGTCCGACTTCAGCCAGGTCACGATCTCGCGGTCCGTGAGTTCGAGCCCCGCGTCGGGCTCTGGGCTGATGGCTCAGAGCCTGGAGCCTGTTTCCGATTCTGTGTCTCCCTCTCTCTGCCCCTCCTCCCCGTTCTGCTCATGCTCTCTGTCCCAAAAATAAATAAAAACGTTGAAAAAAAAAATTAAAAAAAAAAATGGCTCCATACTCTAATAAATTTGCCAACTTCCACACTGCATCTCCCTCTTAGGGATTAGCAGAGCAAACTCTTGAGAAGTCTTGCCATTTAAACAAAAAACCTGTTTAACCTGACTTAACATGGAATTTCCCAAGGTGACCACAGAACTCCTTCCCCCTTCTATCACTTCTTTACCTCTTGCACGTGCATGAACACAGTCTGGGAAGCACTGGTCTAAGACAGTACTCTCCCAAATGTGGTCAGAACCACTTGCGTTATTAAAATGCAGATTCCTGGCAGTGCCCTCCCCCCTCGCCCCAGGGCTACAGAACCAATGTCTGGGCTCAAATTTTCACACTGGGAACAAATGCCTCAGGGGAACCTTATGTGCACAGAAGGCTATCAACCTAGCATGGTCTAGGTTTATGGCCTCTTGTATCAGTACCATAATTAATAGCACTCTTTCTTAGAAATGGCTCAGTTTGGACAATAAATTCTTTGCTGAACCTAGAGCCTTGTGCTTTCACATCATGCCAGTTAGGCAGCAGCTAACTCAGTTTTGAGAACGGTGGTTTCACAAAAGCTAATCATTCTTCCCCTGGGTATAATTCTTACTCCTAGAAAACAATCCTTGCAGAAGCAAGATTCTATGACAAAAAAAAAAAAAAAAAAAAAAAAAAAAAAAAAAAATCTTCCTACTATCACAGCCTAAAATCTCTGTCCCCAAAGTTAGTCTCAAGGTTTCATGCATTTACTCATGAAGAGTCTCATGAATTGATTTCAGATCTTTTCTGCATTTTTTGCCTTTCATTTCAACCTTCCTGATAATCATCACCTTAAATTCCTCCTGGATTTCTGTGCCTAGGAAGCTCTCAATTCCCTGCCCATTACAGAATGGTATTAGTTTAAGGAACTCCCCTTCTTTTTTGGAGGGGGGGGGCAGTATGTAGGATCTCAATGTGTGTGCATGTACAGGTATACATATACACATGTGTGTATGAATCAGGTACCCCCTTCATTAGTATCAGTCTGTCCAAGAAACACACAGAGGAAGGTTAAGATAAAATGGCCCTAAGGTGCGGGGCGCCTGGGTGGCTCATTTGGTTAAGTGTCTGACTCAATTTCAGCTCAGGTTATCATGTTTCAGTTTGTGAGATTAAGCCCCGTGTCAGGCTCTGCACTAACAGTGTGGAACCTGCTTGGGATTCTCTCTCCCTCTCTCTCTGCACCGCCTCCACTCACTCTCTCGCTCAAAGTAGACTTTTTAATTTTTTTTGTAATGTTTATTTCTTTTTGAGAGGAAGAGACAGAGTGCAAGCGGGGGAGGGGCAGAGAGAGAGAGGGAGACACGAAATCTGAAGCAGGCTCTGCGCTGTCAGCACAGATCCGGATGCAGGGCTCGAACCCACAAGCCATGAGATCACGACCTGAGCCACAGTTGGATGCTTAACCGACTGAGCCACCCAGGCACCCCTGAATAGACATTTGTTTAAGTGGCCCCAGGCTGACTTACACCTCGTCATCACAGTTTAGAGGCTTCTCCAGTCTGTAGCCCTGGGGCAGCTTCTCGTACAGCTCTGCACATGTCATCCCGCAGTAAGGAGTGCCACCTGCAAGACAGGAAACCGGGTTGCCCTGAGCCCCTCTGGGGTGGAGCACAGCGTCTCCTGCCCCAGGCCCCTCAAGCCCAGAGACTGGGATAGAGACAGGGTGTGTCAAGAGAAGACGCAAAATCAACATGATCTTCCTGTCTGAGCAAACCCACCATACATCACAGCTGGACATAAGCCCCAAACTGCATGACAGTGTGGCCATTCGTCGGCAGACAGATCCAGAAGGCGGTTCCTTGTTTCCCGCACTGTTTCTCTTCCCTGAGTTCACCTGCACACGAGTCCTCTACTGTACTAATGGGATGTATCTTTGTCCTATTTGGAAGTCCTCGGTCGGGTTTATACAATTCCGATTTTATCTATAATCGGTACTGCCCAATTTTAATTCTAAAACATACATATTTAATATAGAAAACTTGGAAAATACAAAAACGCATGAAGCAAGCAAGCAATATTTGTAGTGCTCTCCTGCAGACTCCTTCCAGGTTTTTCATGTGTAACATGTATAACATTTATAAAATGGGATCACCATGTAAGGAAGTTTCTGGGTTTTGGCATGCATGTTTTCACATGCTATTAAATGGTCTTCAAAAATGACTTTGCACGGCTGTGTAACATATCATCTTAAAGTTGTAGAAGTGAACTTATAACAGTTCTGTGACACCTCTGTACAAACAAAGACAACCTATGATGAAGTTCACAGCCACCAGGTTGTTAGTACTAAATATGACATTAGACACAGGGCTCTCAAAAAGAGAAACATGGGACTAAACACACTCATACATGGAAACCCATCAAGTTCTATGTCCCAGTCCCATCTAGTGGTGCCCCAGAAAGATGGCACCCGTGGGATCCCACAGTGAGGGAGAATGGGAGGGGTCCACTCCCATTGCCTGGAGTCTCGCCTAGTAGATAAACATAGATACTCACCTAAGCTAACGATCTCCCATAGGAGCACTCCATAGGACCATCTGCAGGAGACACAGTAAGGAAACCAATAATTAACAAACAGGTTGACCCGTCAATCTCCTGCCTCAAAAGTCAGGGTGACTGATGCTTTGCCAGAAAAGGAAATGTTAAATGTGTGCTCCCCAGGACAGGGTCTTGTACGTGGCCTGTGCTGACCTCCTCTTAGGCCAAGGGAAGGATCCTAACGGGGGAAACGTTAGGGAAACGTGTGAGAACGCCCACTCACTTTAGGTGGAGAACATGAGCTGGTACTGGGGAAAGCAGGTGCAATTCTAAGCCAACAGACTGGACTTAAATCCAGGCTCGGCCGCCTGATACTCGTGTCACCTGGGACAAGTTACTGAACCTCTGGAGGCCTCTTCGTGTCTTCGGCAAGTGGGAACACCAATTGCTGCCTCAAAGTTATGCAGAGATGATGGAAGAGAACATACAAAAGGCACCTTGCACGCAGTGAGGAAGCAGTGCTTGCCAGCCCCCTGCCCTTCCCCCGGCATAAGCTAAACTCCCTGGACAAGTCATCTCAAGCCTCGGGGCCTAAGTGTTTCCTCCCGTCAATGGGGGCGGGGTGTGGGGGGGAGCAGAGATGGTCTAAGTTTCACTCCCAGCCCTTCCTTCACCACCAGCCTGAGACTTGTCTCTCTTAGCTGTGAGCAGACATGGGCCCTTGATCTGGCCTGCCTTTTTCCCCAGCCACATATGACCCCCAGCAGCTATTGTGAACTGCCCCTCACTGTTCTGGGTCCTGTATGCTGAGGTCAGTCTGGGAAGTGGAGCGGCAGGAATGCTCCATATGCCCCTTGCTCCTCTGGAGATGGAGAATTCACCACTTCTCCTTGACGGGCAGAAGGACACCTACAGCCTGTCACCAGGGATCTTACATTACACCCTGAATACTGTCTACTCTGAGGCTTATTTCATAGACTCCAAATTTATTTCTCAGGCTTACTGACTACTTTTGTTCCACAGATGGACATAACAGTCCTACTTTGCTTTAAGACTCTGTCAGATGCTTATTTTTCTGGGAGAAAAAAAAATCCCTCAACAATAAAAGGCTTACTCACACATCACTGTTGGTTGTATACACACTGTAATTTAGCGACTCGATTGCCATCCAGCGCACTGGGAGCCTTCCCTGGAGAGAACAAAGTGAGATGCCACTTAGGCACAACAGGGACCCTTCCCCAGGCACACAGCTTGCCCGGAGTTGTGGTTCGCTCAAGCCCACAGGGAAGTGTGTTTGGGATTCCCCACATGTAAGATACAGCACAGTCAGGAGCTGCTGTTTGTGTATGTCCCATGTACAAGAGCGTTCTCAAATCCAAAGATGTGCAAGAAGTATAAACCCCGCTGACCTCAAGGAGTCCCTACCACTGTTTTGTATAAAGAAAAATAACATGTGTGGGTATGTGTGTGTGGATGGGCATGTGCATTTTTGGTAGGCATTTCATTGATTCACTTTGTGGCTCTCAGAGGCACTCAGAGCTTTGAAAAGGGAGAGAGGCAGCAGGGAAACGGAGAATCAAAGTGTAGTGTGGGAAAGGCTCAGGTGATATGAGGTGGCCAACCACGCCTGGAAGAGACGGGGAGGACTTTCAGACAAGGGGACACATGAGCTCGGTTCTGTATGTGTAGGTGTCCTCAGGTGGGTCAGGGAGAGAAGAGCCTTTCCGACCAAAGGGAACATTGTGCATACACATTAGTGGGGGAGGAGGATATAACCTCTCATCAATGCAGTTTACACTGGGTTTGAAGATGGGATGACACACAATCATTTGCCCTTTGGGGGCTAAGTGCTGACTCCACCCAGGTTGTCCCTTTTTTTTTTTTTTCTTTTTTTTTTTGCGTTGATTCATTTTTGAGAGACAGAAACAGACTGTGGGTGGGGGAGGGGCAGAGAGAGGGAGAGACTGAATCCAAAGCAGGCTCTAGGCTCCGAGCTGTCAATACAGAGCCAGATGCAGGGCTCAAACCTACAGACCACAAGATCATGACCTGAGCTGAAGTCAGACGCTCAACTGACTGAGCCACCCAGGCGCCCCAAAGTTGTCCCCATTTCTTTAAGTCCAGCCTGGGGAAAATGACTGGACATTGGGAACTTTGGCTTCTAAGTTTTATTCCTAGTTTCACTGTGATTTTGGGCTCCCTTCCCATCAACCCCAGGAATCATATAAGCCCTACTGAGAGGGACTTCTCCCCCAGGGATTTGTCAAGCTCTAACAGCAGCGTTTTAGCTGCAGCAAGCCAGGAAGTAAGACAACTTCCTGAGTATTTGGGGGTCTTCTCAGTTCCCCTGAAATAGGAGAAGGCATTCTCCCAGACCCATCTTGAGATCACCTTGAGATCAGCCATGCCCTGGGCCCCAACTCTAGTCCTAAAGGTGCCACTGTCTCCTAGGTCTTTGTTAAGTGGAGATATTCTGAAGCCCGTTCTGACCCTAAGTCCCGATTGGTACTTTAAGATTCAGTTATAAAACTACCCCTTTGCAAACCTACCTCTGGTGCTCCCCAATATTCACTCCATGCCCACCTCACCTCCAGGCACACCTGTTATTCTAGCCTTTTCCCCCCTCCACAGGAATGGAAAGAGTCATCGACATTTTCTGTCTTGTCTTTGCTTTTATGTACCTGCTAGCTTCTGACCTCATGCCTCCAAATTACTAATTTCCACGTGCACTTTATTATTCTTGTTTGATTTCTTTTGGGTCTGTCCATTTCAATCTGTCACTCCTGCTCTCCCACCTGGGTTCAGGCCACCATCATCTGTTACCTGATGACAACCTCTTAATTGATCTTCTTGCTCTAGAGGTTCAGTCCCTAAGGATCAGTTCTCTGCACCACAGCCAGATTAATGGCTCAAAATGGCAAATCCAAACACGTGGTTCCTTTTTTAAAAAGTTCTTCCATGTCCTTATTGTCCCAAGATCTTAATTCCTTAGATGAGTCCAAAATTTTTAGCTGGAATTCAAAAATCTTCAATAAAACGATATCCCTGTGGGGTGTGTGGTTGGCCCAATTGGTTAAGAGTCTGACTTCAGCTCAGGTCATGATCTTGTGGGTTCTGGCTCCACATAGGGCTCGCTGATCTCAGGGTAGGGCCTGCTTCAGATCCTCTTCCTTTCTCTCTCTTTTCCCCTCCACCCCTGCCCCTCTCTCTCTCAAAAATAAACTTAAAAAAAAAAAAAAAGACCTTATCCTTGATTCCTCCTCCCATCTTGAATTGTAACTCTCCCTCTTTTTTGCATTATGCTCCAGCCATATTGAATTACTTGTCCCCCAAATGTTTCCTACCTTCCTTTGTCTCTAGGCTTTTACATGTACTGCACCCTCCAATTCATTCTCATATCTCCCATATCTATTTAACATTTGTAAAACACAAGAGTTAGCCTCCTCCACGGAGCCCTTCTTGATTGCCCACAGGCTCAGTTCAGTGTGCTTCCTCTGTGTCCCCATGTGCATTTCTCCTCTGTGCTTTCTTTGCCGTCAGCACTTATCAACTGCTTTTCATTATTAATCAACTGTTTTTCATTATTAATGAACTGTTATTTATTATGCATCTGAGCTACTTAAAGGTGGAGGCTGTCCCAATTTATGTCACCCCCAAACCTAGCACAGACATGAAACACTACAGTCATAAAGACATTGATGAGAGGGGATGCATTATCAATGGTAATAAAGCCCCAAATCACTTAGTATGTTAGCTTGCAACACTTCCAATATTAGCATCGCCTGGGGGACTTAAACAAAAAAAACAAACAGGGGCGCCTGGGTGGCGCAGTCGGTTAAGCGACCGACTTCAGCCAGGTCACGATCTCGCGGTCCATGAGTTCGAGCCCCGCGTCGGGCTCTGGGCTGATGGCTCAGAGCCTGGAGCCTGTTTCCGATTCTGTGTCTCCCTCTCTCTCTGCCCCTCCCCTGTTCATGCTCTGTCTCTCTCTGTCCCAAAAATAAATAAACGTTGAAAAAAAAACAAAAAAACAACAAAAACAAACAACCAACCACAAACTGATGTAGGAGCCCCACCCCAGGACAACAGAATGAGAGTATTTAAGTATGTATATAGTATTTAAGCAGTAGGACTCAGCATCAGTATTTTTTGAAAGCTCCCCAGATGATTCTGAGGGGCAGCTGGAGTGCAAAATCTCAGATTTAAACAATAGTCCAAGTTGTAGGGAAGATGGCGGCGTAGGAGGACGCTGGGCTCACCGCGCGTCCTGCTGATCACTTAGATTCCACCTACACCTGCCTAAATAACCCAGAAAACCGCCAGAGGAGTAGCAGAACGGAGTCGCCGGAGCCAAGCGCAGACGAGAGGCCCACGGAAGAGGGTAGGAAGGGCGGCGAGGCGGTGCGCGCTCCACGGACTGGCGGGAGGGA